AGATTTGATGAACAATGACAGAGGGAAGGTTTTATTGTCACTACGATATTCGACATCTAAACAAGCTCTTATTGTTGGTATAATACGATGTTCAGGACTGGCTGCCATGGACTCAAATGGCTACTCTGATCCTTATGTTAAATTGTAAGTAATTTAAGAAATAAAGAAATTAAGAAATTCAAGCAAAAGTCTGTGTATCACTTCTCATAATTATATTCTAATGCAAAAAAGAAAAAAAATGGATCTGTTGGAAAATTTCAGATAAATTCTGAAAAAGGGGGAAATCTCTCTGAAGCAATGAAAGATAATTGAAGTACAGTCGAGACTGCCTAAGCGACCCCCTGATTTAAACGACTCCCTGTCTTATCCGACCTTGTTTCAGTACTCCCAACGTATTTTCTTATATAAATGGTCTGAATTAAACGACTCCCTGTCATATGTGACAAGCGACCCTAATTGTCTGGTCCCAATGCAATGTTTTGTCTGATTTAAACGACTTTCACACCTTTTAATTGTCCGTTAATCAGATAACGATTACCTATTATAACACCCAGAGGGCCAAATTAATTAAGTCCAATTATAATCCAGCACTGTAGCAAACAAAGTCTACACACCTCTATCTCAATTACACAGTTAGCATGTAGGTACTAGTGACGTAGCGTCGGGTTCATGGGAAATCATGATGCAATCATGTGTGTGTAATGTACTACCTGAGTAAACTGGGTTAAGACTGTGTTAGATTTTTTTTTTAATTATAGAGTGCCCATGGAAGATTTTTTTAGGCAGCATTTTTTTTAATTTACTTTCTATGGCTGCATAATTAATACGGAAAAAAATATTGATACCAAACCAGAAAAAGCTTTTGGATATGGATATGTTTACAGTAAAGATCCTGTAACACAATTTTTCATGGTTTTAGTTCATAAATATGATGCTCAAATTAAGATTTGTCAATATTGTAAGTTCAAATAAGCATAATTTAGAAAGATATCACCGAATTTAACATTTCATGTAAATAAAGGCCATTAAAGGGAGGTAATTCGAACTTTATTTTCTATAAAGTCAAATTTTCCGATAAGAAATCAGTGCATGTAATTTATTGATTAAATATAATGTGCACAAATATTTGCAATAAACATTTTACATATTCTTTGATGTTTGAAAATGATTTTATTTGCATAATTATATCCATATATATTTTTTGCAAGATCCGTGATCACAGTAACAATATCAATATTCTTTAAAAGTCACATTGGTATATAGACAGATAGATGATATTGAGACTGTATTTAGAGACTCCCTGTCATATGCGACCTTTTTCTGAAGGTCCCTTGGAAAGTCACATATGACAGTCTCGACTGTATTTAAATATTGCTAACTCGGTTTATTTGAGTCAGATCATGAAGAATAATTGAAAAATGCAACATTCCTCATGCCCATCTATCCCAGACATAAGCACAAATATAACACTTAACATGCTGGGTATCAAGATCCTGAAGGACTATAAAAATATGACAATACTGAAAACTAATGTTTGTGGCAGACTGTAAATACAGACTGGTTTTTTTGGATGTGTACACTACAATGTATATGTAAAACCGTATTCTTAAATCTGAAGAAATTAAGACAAAATTTAAGCTATCATTCTATGTTACAAGTAAATGATTTTCACTTATATTTCAAGATATTTGAAGCCAGACAGAGACAAGAAATCCAAGTTTAAAACTGCTGTAAAGAAGAAAACACTGAATCCAGAATTCCATGAGGTAATGTTGTAAACAATAAGTTTTTAAAAAAATAAAAGATATTTATTAATTCACTTTATAAAACAAGTGAAAAAAAAGTACTGAGGTACATTTTAAGCATACAATAAATAACTTTTTATGCCACCGCAGCATCTGCGATGCGGTGGCATATAGCGATTCACCTCTGTGTGTGTGTGTGTGTGTTTGTTTGTGTGTGTGTGTGTGTGTTATATAGATTATATAGTGAACTTAAAAAATCTTCTTGTGAAAAACCACTAGTCCAATTTAAACCAAACTTGGCAGGATTGATCCTTGGGTGAAGGGCTTCCAAAGTTGTTCAAAGAATTTCATTCCATGCAGAAATCTGGTTGCCATGGCAACTGAAAGGAATTATAAGAATAAATTTAAAAAATCTTCTTGTAAAGACCCAAAAGGCCTAGAGCTTAGATATTTTGCATAAGGCATTGTCTGGTAGACCCTTACCAAGATTGTTCAAATTATAGCCCTGGGGTCAAAATCGGCCCCGCCCCAGGGGTCATTGATTTTCACTATATGTACATATAGTAAAAACTAAAAATACCTTCTTGTAAAGACCCAAAAGGCCTAGAGCTAAGATATTTTGCATAAGGCATTGTCTGGTAGACCTCTACCCAGATTGTCCAAATTTTAGCCCTGGGGACAAAATGGGTCCCGCCCCGGGGGTCATTGATTTTCACTGTATGTACATATAGTAAAAACTTAAAATACCTTCTTGTAAAGACCCCAAAAGGCTAGAGCTTAGATATTTTGCATAAGGCATTGTCTGGTAGACCCTTACCAAGATTGTTCAAATTATAGCCCTGGGGTCAAAATCAGCCCCGCCCCAGGGGTCATTGATTTTCACTATATGTACATATAGTTAAAACTTAAAATACCTTCTTATAAGGACCCAAAAGGCCTAGAGCTTAGATATTTTGCATAAGGCATTGTCTGGTAGACTTCTACCCAGATTGTTCAAATTATAGCCCTGGGGTCAAAATCGACCCCGCCCAGGGGGTCATTGGTTATCCTTATATGTATATAGTAAAAACTTACAGTAAAAACTTTTTAAAAAATCTTCTAGTAATTGACAAATGCTAGAGGTAAGATATTTTGCATGAAACATTGTGTAGTGAAGCTCTAGTAAGATTGTTCAAATTATAGCCCTGGGGTCAAAATTGGCCCCACCCCTAGGGGTCATTGATTTTCACTATGAACATAGAGTAAAAAATTAAAAAATCTTCTTATCTGAAGGTACAAGGCTTAAAGCTTTGATATTTGGTATATAATATCATCTTTGGGTCCTCTACTAAAGTTGTTTTAATTATGCCCCTAGTGTTAAAATTGCCCTGCCCCAGAGGCGCTAGATTTCCTGTTATATTTATAAAGTAAAAACTTGAAAAATCTTCTTCTCTGAATTGACAAAGGCTAGAGTTTAAATATATGGCATGAGACTTTGCGAAGTGAACCTCTACCAAGATTGTTCAAATTTTAGCCCTTGGGTCAAAATTGGTTCTGCCCCGGGGGTCATTGATTTACATTATGTACATCTAGTAAAAAAATAAAAAATATTTTTGTCTGAAGGTACAAGGCATAGAGCTTTGATGTTTGCTATATTATATCATCTATAGGTCCTCTACCAAAGTTATTCAAATTTTTCCCCTGGTGTCAAAACTGGCCCTGCCCGGGGGCATGATTCTCATTATGTACACATAGTAAAAACAGAAAATAAACCAAATGTTTTCTGAATTGGAGAAAGCTTCAGCTTAGATATTTGACTTGAAATGTTGTTTGGTGGACCTGTATCAAGATTGTTTTGAATTAAACCCTTGGGTCAAAATTTTGCCTTGACCAAGGGGACAGTGACCTACTTTCTTGTCCTTTGATGTACAGCAATGAAATTTTGACCATGTGCATAGTTTTAGGTGTAAAATTGAACTTTGATATCAGCTTACCTAGATTTTGACAAAGTGTCTTACTGTGTTGTCCTTTGATGTAGTCATGAAATTTAGGCTGTGTGAAATATGACCTTCACCACCAAATTCACTAGACTCAAGTGCATTGATATATTCCTGCTCTGATCTTTTATTTGATTAACAATAGATTTAATCACTAATCTGATAATAAGAATTAGATAGGTCAGGGATCTATGCATTATGACAATCTTCCATTGTATAGAAACAAAAAAAAATATGTTCCTACACTACTATTTAGTGTTGTATTAATGCGGTGGCATAGCATTTTTCTCAAATGCAATCTTGTTTTATACTAGATGTGTCTTACAGTTAACATTAATGTTAGTTATTAAAAGTGATTTTGGTATTAGAATTGTTTTATTAATAAAGTTACAGTTATGCAGAATTTCCCTGTCCTTGCAAACTTGTGAAATGTTGTTTGCTGGCTTTTAATCTGGACCTGTTTTCTACAACTAGTAGATCATGTTGTATTAGCATTTATGTACTTAGATAAAGCAATCAGCAAGTGTAGAGACATGTCCATGCAGTCTTGTCCACAGGGACCTGGGACTATCCAACCCAAAGTATATTCCCCTTCCCCCAAAGTCCCAGTTACAACCCAAAACAAATATAAATAAAAGTCAATTTCCACAATTAGTATTCATAACAACAATAATACGACACTAATAGACAATTTTCAATACCCCTCTAGAATATTAGTCAATTATAAGTTCTGTACTGGTGTAATAGGTCAATCATTATTGCTTTTTAATGTTGAAAGATTATTTTACGTATGTAAAGGTCCATCTTGTTTTATATTTCAGGAATTTACTTACCAAATCAAACACAATGAATGTGCCAAGAAAACCTTAGAAATTACTGTCTGGGATAGAGACATTGGTAAAAATGACTTCATAGGTTAGTTTGTTTGAGTTACTTTTTCAAATATAAAAAAATATGAACATGATTAATTTGGCTGATTTTCATAGAACTTGATAGTTTTAATTAAATATACTGTATAAAAGATACTCAAAAAGTTAATGAAGTAATTTACCATACAACAATATCAAGAAGACAAAAGGGTGATATAAGTGTTATTCTTTCATTTCAGGGGGTGTACAGTTAGGTATAAACTCTAAAGGAGAGAGGTTGAAACACTGGTTTGACACTCTGAAGTTTCCAGATAAAAAATATGAACACTGGCATACATTGTCAGCAGAATTGGTGCCTGAGGTGCAATAGATATTGTGTTGCATGATTATTTTGTGTTATGTAAGTTTTGTGTTGCTGTAGAAGTTACGTCCCTTTGTTTTTACCCTATCATTTTCACCAACATTCATAAACAATGATAAAATATTGTCTAACGGTATATTTTATTATTTATTATTAGCCAAGCTTATTGTAGATATTTAGACATTTATAATTTCAAATTAATAATGGATAATAGAATTTTGAAGTAGTATTTCTTTATTTTATAGATTATTTTAGCTTGCCAAAGACCGGTACAGCCAAATGTGCATGCTAACATGAAGGTTTTATTTCAGCTTATCTGATGGGTAAAATGTTAGCAGAAATATTGATAGATTTTGATATACCCTTTTTGTAATAATTTCTAAAGAAACAGATAATTTTATTTTACAGCAATAGTGGACAATGAAATCGGCTTAGATTTACATTTAATTATTGTCATGTCTAGTTCAACATATAGAATATGATAAGTGACTTTTGTCAACCTATTTGCGTTGGTATTAACATCACCATAATTTCATATAACATATCCATGGCCATTCATTCTGTGCCACTTCTTTCACTGATTTATCATATGAGCCGCGTAATGACAAAACCAACATAGTGTGTTTGCTACCAGCATAGATCCAGACCAGCCTGCGCATCCATGCAGTCAGATCAGGATCCATGCCATTGGCTATCAGTTTCTCTACTTGTAAAAGGGTAGGTAAGCAAACAGCATGGATCCAGACCAGCCTGCGCGTCTGCGCAGTCTGATCATAAAGGTCGCACACCCTTTATGTTGGTTTTGTCGTGACGCGGCTCATATAGAGTAGGTTAGAGCTGTTATGGTAACCAGCAATAGGAGTTTCATGAAGGATATTCTCGGTCATCTTTGTCTGAAAGTACAGGTAAAACTAGCAGTCAATGCAAAAACGACCCACCTTGATAAGTTTGTGTGGTCAGGACATCTAGTTAGTAGAATTTGACTACTAAGATATAATTGTCCCCCCATTTGCATTTTACTTGAACACTTTACTTGACATTTTACTTGACACTGTCCATAAGTTCAACTTCAATTGGATTCCTCATACCATATATAAAAGTGTTAACATTAAATAATATATTGGTATCATATATGTGAATGTGTGATCATATTTGGAGTTAATTATTGACAGAATATCAAGTTATTGTGGTTGAAGTCATGTATCTAGTCATTATACTGTACCCAAAGCATCACTATACATTCATGATGTGTTAGTTCATGTCACCTAATTGGCTGATTACCTTATTATGAATTTCTTTAAATTTAGAATTTTTCTTGTTATTTTTCAGCCGGATGATTAATCTAAAAATATAGGTCATGTGATCTGGATGGTTCTCTGCTTCGCAATGGAAAAGTGCAGCATTATGTGTGCTCAGTTACAACTGACTGTTTTGTTTTTGAGATAAGACAATCTATTAGAATCTCATGGTAGTTATGGCAACTGTTCAAGTATATATATGATAGATTGAAAATCTCAGCAAGATGAAAACTCGTCAACGTATTACATGTAACTAGGAAATGGATATATAGAAAAATTGTATGATTTTCAAAAAATGTAACGGTTTATTTAGGAAAATGATGGTATATTTTTGTAAGAATGTGTTATGTTGTGATTTGGGAAGTTATTAACATAAAAAAATTAAGTGCGTTACTTAGACTATTACATGATTTATTAACAAAGTAATATGGTTACATGTGGAATGATTTTTATTTACTAAAAAAAAAAAATCAAATGATTCCCTTTCAAAATTGTGTGATTATGAAGATTACATATAACAAAGACGGGTCACTCTTCAAATAAAAGATTGACTGATGACCCAGATTCCGAGGAAGACCAGATCATGATAATCAAATCGGCACTGAAATGGGTTATGTCCAGACAGTTAAAGATATTCTTAGGTTGATGATCCCTTTCTATTCAAAACAAAATTTTTTTTCATCTTGCATTTTTATGCCCCCACAGAGTGGGAGCATATAGCGTTGCACTTGTCCGTCCGAGTGTCCGTCCGTCCGTCCGTCTGTCCGTCCGTCCGTACGTCTGTCCGTACGTCCCGAAATCTTGTGAACGCAACTCCTCTTAAACCGGACGGCAGATTTTGCTTAAACTTCCAGGGATGAACAACCTTAATGTGTAGATGGTAGTAAAGGAAGGAATTTTTGCTGCGACCAAATTTAACAGAATTATGGCCCTTTGTTGATTTTTTCACTATATACTATGTAGAAATTTTGTGAACGCAACTCCTCTTAAACCGGATGGCAGATTTTGCTTAAACTTCCAGGGATGAACAACCTTAATGTGTAGATGGTAGTAAAGGAAGGAATTTCCGCTGCGACCAAATTTAAGAGAATTATGGCCCTTTGTTGATTTTTCACTATATTACTATGTAGAAATTTTGTGAACGCAACTCCTCTTAAACCGGATGGCAGATTTTGCTTAAATTTACAGGGCTGAACACCCTTAATGTGTAGATGGTAGTAAAGGAAGGAATTTTTGCTGCGACCAAATTTAAGAGAATTATGGCCCTTTGTTGATTTTTTCACTATATACTATGTAGAAATTTTGTGAACGCAACTCCTCTTAAACCGGATGGCAGATTTTGCTTAAACTTCCAGGGATGAACAACCTTAATGTGTAGATGGTAGTAAAGGAAGGAATTTCCGCTGCGACCAAATTTAAGAGAATTATGGCCCTTTGTTGATTTTTCACTATATTACTATGTAGAAATTTTGTGAACGCAACTCCTCTTAAACCGGATGGCAGATTTTGCTTAAATTTACAGGGCTGAACACCCTTAATGTGTAGATGGCAGTAAAGGAAGGAATTTTTGCTGCGACCAAATTTAAGAGAATTATGGCCCTTTGTTGATTTTTTCACTATATACTATGTAAAATTTTGTGAACGCCACTCCTCTTAAACCGGATGGCAGATTTTGCTTAAATTTACAGGGCTGAACAACCTTAATGTGTAGATGGTAGTAAAGGAAGGAATTTTCACTGCGACCAAATTTAAAAGAATTATGGCCCTTTGTTGATTTTTTCACTATATACTATGTAAAATTTTGTGAACGCAACTCCTCTTAAACCGGATGACAGATTTTGCTTAAACTTCCAGGGATGAACAACCTTAATGTGTAGATAGTATTACAGGAAGGAATTTTTGCTGCGACCAAATTTAACAGAATTATGGCCCTTTGTTGATTTATAGTTTTCAATTTGTGGCACATGTAGTCCAAAAAATATTTGACCAAGAGTCATTAGATTGACAGAACAGTGGCGTGTGGGGGCATCCGTGTCCTATGGACACATTTCTAGTTTTTTTTATTCTGCTGATATTTGTGAAAGTCATTTTATTGGTCTAGAATTATGAATAGTCAAGTTTGGAATGGTCTTTTTTTGCAAAATGCTCTAGTGTACTTTACCTAAAGTATTTCCTTCAAATTGTTTCAGAAGTTTTGAGTGCAGTTAACAATTTTCCATGACAAGATGAATTCTAGTGTTGTACATGCTGTTAAGTTGAAAGCATATAATAATTATGCACTTGACTTTTTCAGTTAAATGATTTATATACATTTTATCACCAACTGGCACAAAACAATAAAGCAAAACTGTTGTAGCTATGACCCTGCATTGTTGTTATTGTTGTTAGAAAAGAATGAAGTGAAGTCAGATTTAATGAAGGTAAAACTTCCATTAGAGCTTTATATGTCAGTATAATGAATTGTTTATGAAGAAAAATCATGTACAAAGTATATAAATTCTTCCAATTTTTTGAATACATATACAACGTATATTTGGGTGTATTTTTACTATAAAATTAATGATTTTACTGATGATGTTAATGTTAAGGAAATTGTAATATTTGCTTTTAGTGGATAGTAGCATAATTTATAGTTGGTTATTTTCCCCCATCTTTGATGAAACATTATATTATTTAACTGTAGAATTGATTATTGTGCCTTCAGTTGAAATAGGTTGTATATTTATACACATTCCATAATATTAAAGACCAACCAAGACATTCTTTTTTTTAATTGAAGTTTTCTGTTTGATACCTGTATGACAAATTTGATTAAATGATCCTTACTGGTCCAATGTGTCTGGAGTGAAGCCTTAACCACTTGGCCATGCTACAACATTAAATAGTGGTTAACCACAACAACATAGGGTCAGGACAGCTCTGTTGTCCAAACAATTTTCATGTTCCACTGATAAGTCTTGGTATGTCTTTAATATATAACATACATGTACTTATGTCCAGAATCATCATTCCAATTGTTTATGTACATTTCCAGCATATTTGTTTTTTCATGAACTATATATTTATTAACTGATATTTATTTTGTACAAATATAGAATTATTTAAATTATAGTGTATTATATGAAAGCAAATATGAATATTTTATTGTGTAGGATAGTATAAAATGATAAATGTTTAATATGTTGTTTGTTGTTTAAACATGTATACTACTTTAAGTATAATTAAACTGGTTACTAATGCTATAGATCTGAATTCTGAGCCCTAAAATTGAATCATGTGTTTAATTATATACGACAGTGGTTTCGAGAAATATTCACTTTAATCATGCAGAGAAGGTGATTATGTATTTTAATGAAATTGCATGATTTACTTAAATGAAATATAAAATTAAGACATGGTTTCCACAAATTTATCAAACAACCCTCGTAATTCCATATAAACCAGTTGATTGGTTGAAGAATTATATTATTCTTTAAGATTTAAAGATGCAACTGAAATCAAATAATCCATACTTATATATGTTATTTCTTTGTTTTTAGCTCACTTAAGCACAAAGTGCTCAAGAGATGAGCTTTCCTGATGGCAAATCATTCGTTGTCCATTGTTTGTAGCTATCCTTTATTTAAACAATGTCTCATCCTAATCCATAAGATTGATTTTTACCAAATTTTCCTGAAATAATCCTTAGGTGGTCATTTACATAAAATGGTTTCAGCTAAATGCATAAGTAGGTTGCAGGAGCTTAATTAAATTTTTAAAAATCTTCTTTTTGAAACTACAATACACAGAGCTGAGATATTTGGTATGTAGCATCATCTTCTGGTTCATTACAAAAGATATATAAACCAAGCCTTAATGGTCAAAATTGGCTTGCCTTGCATGTCACTTTATTTATTAAGAGTTATATAGGATAATGCATTTAATTTAAATCTGCTTTGTGTAAACCTACACTGCCAAGAGCTTACAGTTTTAGCATGTTGCATTGCTTTGTGAACTTATAACAAAGTAATATAATTCATGCCCCCAAGGAAAAGAATGGCCGCAGTCTGCTACCAAGGAAAACAACGTTCATGCCCTTTCACCTTATTCATATATTCATATAGTAAACATGTATTTGATGTTTATGTAACTGATCTTTCCAGTCTTCCATTGGCTTCTTACTTTTCACTGACTTCTTATTATTCAACTATATGTTTTATCTTTCCCCATCTCCTGTGTCTTCCATTGTCTTCTTAATTTTTTACAGCATCCCTTCATCTTCATCTTCGAATGTTTTCTTTATCTTTCAATGTTTTTTTTCATCTTTCAATGTTTTCTTCATCTTCCAATGTTTTCTTTATCTTTCAACGCTTTCTTTAACTTTCGATGTTTTCTTCATCTTCCAATGTTTTCTTCTTCTTCCAATGTTTTCTTTATCTTTCAATGTTTTTTTTTCATCTTTCAATGTTTTCTTCATCTTCCAATGTTTTCTTTATCTTTCAATGCTTTCTTTAACTTTCAATGTTTTCTTTATCTTCAACTGTATCCTTCATCTTTCACCGTATTCTTCATCTTTCACTCTCTTCTTAACTATTTACTCTATCCTTCATCTTTAACTGTATCCTTCCTTTTCCACAGTCTTCTCAATTATAAAGTGTTCTTGATGTATTTTAGTAATGTTCCATTGCGTTCTCTTTAGTATGATTTTCCAGTTTGTATTTCATGTCATTCTTCTATCTCAGTAGTTTCAATTTATGACATGAAATATGTCAACCGTGATGTAAATTTAGGACCATTTATTCATTTCTTTACTTTAGAATCTTAAGTACAGAAATTATTATTACAGTATCCTTCCGATTTTCTCACATGAAAATCTTCTATCTGGAATTTATAACTACATTGTATATGCGGATTGCCCTCTATTTAACGATCTATTACGTCAAGTTGTATGTCCTCCAACTTCAAAGTAAAGTAATCAAGATTTATTCATTCAGCTCCAATATTAGTTATTTTGGACATTTTAAATGATAAGTATGTAAATTACATTTTCTTATAATTATGTGTGTTCTATTTAATACATAATCTTCTTTTAGACTATGATATACATTACATGGTTGTGAATTTTCTGTGATTTTTGTTTCTCTCTAGTAAACCTTGATGTGTAATAAACTTGATTGTATAATATACAGTTCTGAACAAAGTGTAGTTAAGCCAGTGCTAGTGGACATAAGAGATGTTGAAATTATACAGCGTTTCTCATGAACGGACTCTGTTAAACCAAGTCTGCTATTTCTATATTATGTTTTCAGTGCTTCAGACGGATCTCCCATATTTTTGTGAAGAATTTTGACAATATAAAAATACATGTGTGGCCAAGTATAAACAGTTGCAATCTTATAAAGAGAACCAAATGTTTGTACGCTGTCATTAACTTTGTCAAACGTTTTTAAAAAACGAATTTATAATACTGCAATACTTCTTAATTAAAGAAAATTCTAATTTAAAACGTAAATTTAAAGCATCCTTGTAAACAAGCGCATATTATCAACATCTTGATTTACCCAATGTTGTCATTGTTGCCTTAAAAGACTTTGTTTATTCCTGTTATCAGAGGGAGAGCGTGTATAAAAACAACAGATGTCCTAGTGTCATAGGGTTAAACACTAGCAGTTTAACACCAGTTTTTAGCTCGACTTTTCTATGAAAAGGGGAGCTATCCTACTCGCCCCGGCGTCGGCGTCGGCGTCGGCGTTGGCGTCACACCTTGGTTAAGTTTTTCGTACCACCCCACTTTATTTCAGAAGTATTACAAGTATGGCTTTGAAACTTACCATACTTGTTCACCATCATAACCTCCATCTACAGACAAGAGTACATAACTCTGTCAAGGTTTTTGACAGAATTATGGCCCTTTTTTGACTTAGAAAGTGTATTGAGCTTGGTTAAGTTTTTTGTACCACCTCACTTTATTTCAAAACCATTGGAGGTATTGCTTTGAAACTGACCATACTTGTTTACCATCACGACCTTCATCAACAGACAAGAGGACATAACTCTGTCAAGGTTTTTGACAGAATTATGCCCCTTTTTGACTTAGAAATACATTGAATATGGGTAAAATCCACTTATTGCCTTAACCCTTTGAGATATTGCTTTGAAACTTTTAATGCTATTTCACATCATTACCCCCATCTGTACGCAAGAGAAGGTAACTCTGTCAAGGATTTGTTTTAAAAATTAAGGCCTTTTATCGACTTAGAATCTTGGTTAAGTTTTTAGTACCAGTCCACTTTTTGACTGAACTGTTTGAGATATTAATTTGAAAGTTGGAATACTTGTTTACAATCATGATTCCCAAACATGTCCAGGAGAAGGTAATTCTGTCAAAGATTTTATTTGAATTATGGCCCTTAACTGTCAATGTTTTGTATTATAGGCAAGCACTAAAAAACTTAAAAAATCTAAAAAAATTCATTCCTATCCACTTGTTCACTTTACCATAAATTATGTCATATAAACATTGCTGTAATATTCAAGGGTATCAAACAACTAGTTATTTTTCTCTTTTTGTACTTGAAATTAAAATCTCAGTTTTTTTTTTCTTTCTTACCAGCCCTCTTTTGACTTAAACATTTCAAACTTTGCTGCAGTGTTCAAGGGTATCACACAATTCAGTAAAATAATTCTTCACTAAATATCTTAATGCTCATGGCCATTGTTCACTTTAAAAATACAGAGATTCTTGTATTGCCTTTTACTGCAAAAACTTTTTTTATTGGCAAGCAATAAAAAAGTCGAGCGCGCTGTCTTACGGACAGCTCTTGTTTCTTTGTGCAGTCAAGTGACAAAAAATCACAAGCCATGTAAATATTAGTATGTAATTCAATACATATAACGTCTTTTACTTAAATGGCAATATGTTACTTTGTAATGTATGATAATTTCTGTATATTTTTTATTACTGTATAAGTATGTTATGTTTCTGTATGATTTCATGAACAATATAATAGATCTAATAGAAAATGAAACATAATGATGCCGTTTGTTGTTTAATCACCCATACATAAAAACCCAATCCTTTACTCCGTAAAAACGATACTGCACGGTACTGCACGGCCGTGCATATGGTCCTTTACCTGACATAATTATATTTCTTGTTGATACATAACATACTCTGTGCAAATAAATGGTAAAGTAATTAAAGGTTTTCATAAATAATTCTCGCTAAACACCATACGGTATGTACAAACCGTTCAGACATTTCCAGTTTTTATAAGTTGAACATTTTAAGAAATACTAGAAATTAATAGTGCTCTTTAAGAATCATGTAGATGACATTGCAGCATAAAAGCGTTCTTCAGTTGTATTCAGAATGTTTTAAATCTAATTTCTGAACACTTGTGATAGACGATCTAACAATGGGATATGACTGTTTGAAATCCAAATCGTGCAATGTTTTTAAGTTAACATTCCAAGTTAAAAAATAGTAAACGCCAATAATAAATGAATTTTGGATGAGAGTTATTTATCGTTCTCGTACACCACTGACATAATCACTGCATCCAGGGGTCCCTGGTTCGAACCTCAGGTTCGGCAGGAGCGAAAATTCTTTGTGACAATTGATACCGGGCTTCGAGTCTAATGTCATAGTGGTCAGTCACATTCGGAGAAGTTAGTACTGTTTAGTAATCCGGGAAAGACAGTAAGGTGGTCCGACCATTGATACAAAACAAAATGCCCCGGAAATGTCTTTTTGCATTAATTTAACATACTCTAAACCATGATTTAAACGTTATAAAATTCATGATTGCCTTTTCTAATGAAGTAAAGATTTATTCGTTTCTGAGGCATAATGTGCCTCTAATCGGCGTAAAAACTAAACTAACGCACAAGAAAACGAAATGAAGAGGAAATATAACTTTGGACCCAATCAAACCTCCAATCAAGACGTTATTGGGCGTTTTCTACCCTTAAATGAACAACCTAAATGTTATAATATTTTTGCATCCTAACCAGTTTTGTAATAATTTTATTTCAATTCCGGGTTTATTACAATTCAGGTTGTAACAAAGCCATGCCTCCATTGATTTGGAAAAGGACACATATAATTTTGATCTAGAGGAAGTTGTACTCACTATACACATGTGCATTAAACGTACGTTGAAACACAATTCAGTCTAAAATAATCGCCAGCACTTAATGATAATTCTGTCAAAATCTCTCGGACCCCTTCTTTGAAAGCCCGCTATAAAACAATCTAGTAATCTAAAAATTAAAATCACTTTAAGATTCAACTGTTAACGTATCCATGATACATACATGTATTTAACAAAAGAAAACAATTTCAAAAAAATGAAACAATTTTGTTATTCGCAGATTTAGATGGTGGGTGCGGGATAGACATGACCCCTCCCCCGGGTTTTGACAAGTATTTAAACGCCTGTGAGATTTGGACATGGATTTTCTTCTCACTTCCCCTCGGAGCGTGCACGTCGTAGAGAAGGCACAGGGCATCGGCAGAAGATTTACAGCTTGTCTGGTGGCTAACTATAACTGAAGCCTCCGTGGGCGTTAAAGACGGAACCGCTACTTAGTCAACAACTGCGGACCAGCTGCCGGTGTCCTGACTAATGCCGAGGGGAGTGGCCCTACAAAGTAGGCGCTTGGGTCGACGAGGACGATGTGCTAGGGTGCGTGAGCCCCTAGCACGGTTAGACGGCTTGAAAGGCTGGCCTAGTGCTTTTTCAGGACTAACCTTTCCTATTGTCACAGGTTACTGTACATTTAGGTTCTCATTGACCGCCGTACAGTGACCTACTTGTGGCTCAAATTCATATCTTTGGCTAATACTCCGTGGAAATTGCATGGAGGTAAATTATCACCACTTTGTGCTTCAAAATAAACTCTTTAAGGACGTGACTGGTGACATGTCTGGGGCCCGTACTCGACAGCGCAAGCTGCATTTTGTGCCGGAAAGGGCGGATGGACCCTCATTAAGCTTTAACTTCAATCAAATCAATTAGAACATGAATGTACGTGTTATAGAGTGAAAAGACTAGTCATAAAAATTAAATGTCATGCCTTGTCCTAATTCTGCAACCCCTGTGGTAAGAATCCTGTATTTGCGCCTGTTTGTTGTTTATTTGATCAGACGTATTGTTTCAGTCTATAAATATCATTTAATGTTTAAGTTAAAACGAATTATTAATAAGAAAGCATAGAAGTTTAGTTATATAATACATTCGCGAGATCTTTATGAAAATATCTATTGGATTATACACAGCTACACCAGTGTAAAATTTTCATTTATCAGGAGAGAATTGTGGGACGTATAGTGGGCGTATAGTAAAGATAACACGTATTGAAGGTCACCCGTATTGAATTGTTAAGTTATTTCACAGGAACCTGAAATTATATCCAAAACAAAAAAATAACGATTAAAAAATCCCATATATATACTATAAAAAAAACACGTGTTTTTTTATAGTATATATATGGGAATTTTTTTTTAATCGTTATTTTTTTGTTTTGGATATAATTTCAGGTTCCTGTGGTTATTTAATACAACCAGAAAGCATGACAAATTGACTGGATTAAATACATGTAGATGAAGAATTACGGCGTATTTGGTGGAGGTATTATAACAAAGTAAAGACATTGTAGGATAAGGTAAATTACATATCTATATTTTATAACCCTTAACGGTAACCTTTTAAATTTCAGAAATTTACTTGACCCACTTTCTGTTTTGAAACTTGTGTAGAAAAGTCGTCATAAAGAGCCGGATGAGCAGGCAAAAGCTAATTGTTCTATAAAATAATTACAAGTATTGACATGCTGTGCAATTTAATGAGGAAACATACTTGCTTAGAATTTGTCATATGTGAACACACATAGCCAGGTCTTTACCAATTAACCCACCAACAACCTCCCCCACCCCACCCCGAACACTTTACAATTCAAATATATTTCATTTTAAACATAGAGGATAACTTGGCAAAGTGAAATACTTTTTCGAGTATTGATACTATATTCAATATGACCGGCTTCTTTTTTTATTTTCCATGTCTATTCTTCAATTCCTTTCTTATATTAAACATTACAAAAATTAGTTAAAAATGTTATTCAATTTATTGTATTGAATGTACACAATTCATAATGTACTATTGATCATAAACATTCACAAGAACAATAAGGAATTTTACGGTTATAGACATACACCTTTCCATAAATCGAATTCTTATACTTTAACATCCTTCTTCACACTTTATTTAAATCATATGACATATTCCAATTAAAAGTTAAACAAGCATACACTCATGAAGTTTTTTTCTTTAAAAATATCATCTTAACTTTATGTCATAGAAAAGCCTCGTGACGTCAATCGTGTATATACTGATCAAAGATTTACTTTTAAAATGATATTATTATTATTATTATTATTATATACCACATTTCTATAGCACTCTTTTCATAAATAATAAATCTTCAAGAGTGCTTTACATAAATCTGATAAAACATAATCTTATATATATATATATATATATATAATATATATATATATATATATATATATATATATATATATATATATATATATATATATATATATATATATATATATATAAGACATAAGGTACAATATTAATTAAGTAAACCTATTAAACAATGATGATAATCTAAAACCAGTAAAGGATGGTAAGAAATACAGACACATTTAGTTTAAAATCAAGGCTCAATTTTATTATCATATAAAAGATTTGACCGAAATAAGATTGTTAAAAAAGTAACAAACAAAAGTAAAAAAGAAACGAATTATAAAGTAAAACCCTAAGACATAAAATCAATAAATTAGAGTCACACCTTTGGTAGCTTAAATCTTTATCTTTACATGCTACCGACCTTTTGCCATGAGCCAACTATTTGCTCATATTAATTATATTGTATCCAATGAAATCAATCAAATTTTTATTTTTCTCAATACAAACACGAAGTACATAATACTGAAATTATTTTTATAAAATACCAATACAGAGCCAATTAGATGAGAGAACAAACATAATACGTTAAACCATCTATTGTTTTAATATAATTTTCAAATAAAGTATTTTCAATGATTATCAATTTATTATCCACACATCACAGAGTTACTTTTAGCGAATGGATCAACAAAAATTTTTGTCAATCTTTCTTTTTTTAAAATTTCATGTTTTTTTCTTATTTCTTTGTACTTTTATGGTACCTTGTTTTTCTTGCGCAAATACCTGTATAGATATATCTGCGACACGGTAACCCCTACTATCAATGACGTTAAACTAGGCATTTAAACATATTAACAATTGGTTTTTGTCGAGCCCGTTTTCGGAGAGCTCGACATAGTTGTCACAATGGCGGTTCGGTGTATGTACATGAGTCCATCCGTCCGGATATGTTTGTCCGGAACGTAACTCTGTCATTAGTAGGCAGAATTTCAAATAACTTAGAACAAATGTTTAACATCATGAAACGGCGTGTCGTACGCAAGAACCGTGTGACTAGGTCAAAGGTCAGGGTCATTCTTTAAGGTCAAACAGCTTGTCCACAACATAGCTCTATCACTAGCTGGAGGTATTTCAAATTACCTGGCACAAATGTAAGCGTGTTTGCAAAGGTCAAGGTCTTACTTTAAGGTTAAATGCAAAAAAATAGTCTCGCGCAAGAACCGTTTGACTAGGTCAAAGCTCAAGGTCATACCTCAAGGTCAGATGTGACAGCGGACTCGACATATTGCCCTTGGGCATCGAGTTATATGATAATAGTATGTTGATGCCATGATCATGCTGTTTCAGGTGTATTAACAATATTTGATCGATTTCTAAGAAGGGATTTTGTTATATGATTTCTTTATTTAAGTGATTTTCGGATCAGGTTTAAATTTACTATATGAACGTGTTGTCAAGTATTGTGCTGAATGTCAGGAGTTTAAGCGTTCAGGACACCCACTGACAGTAGGGTATGATAGGATAGATTAGATTAGATTAAATTAGATAAACAATGACAGACAGACAGACAAACAGATATATAGACATCACCTTATCATCAAAATTTACATTGAAGTGTCACAGATGAAAACAAAATTGAATCGCTGATGATTGCAAAATACGACATATTAAGCATAAATGGTGACTTAACAGGTAAAAATCAAAATAACTTAGGTCATTGCACAAATGTGTTCAAAAACACCAGTAATCAACGAAAGCATAGCAAATTGTTATAATGTAGTCCTGAATATATAAGTTATGTTCTAAAGAGCATTATTTCATAGTTTAGTATTTATTTTGTATCATAAATACCTTTTCTTATTAATTATTGTTCAATCACCAATTTTGAAAGATATAATTAAGTCAACCCAACTTGACAGCAAAAAATGAACTTAATTCCATTTTATAACACATTTTAAACAATGTTTTACAATATAGATCTATGTTTTTTCTTTGTCATGAAACGTAAATGTTATTTTATTACAGACTGAGCTCGCAGATATAACATATATATTTATCAATAATTTACAACATAAATCTATATAAACTTACACTGTTTATTTAATATACTATAAGTGTATAATTAACTATGTTTTTTCTTTGTCATGAAACGTAAATGTTATTTTTTATTACAGACTGAGCTCGCAGATATAACATATATTAAACAATGTTTTACAACATAAATCTATATAAACTTACACTGTTTATTTAATATACTATAATTAAGTGTATAATTAACTATGTTTTTTCTTTGTCATTAAATGCGAAATATGCAATAAAATACCAAGAACAAATTAACACCTTTATATTAATAATATCTTTCAATATCAATAATTCGCGTTTAAAATACACTTAATGATTGCACGTGCTATAACGTAAAGTTTAAGGTTATTGAAACGTATACATGTTATTTTATAACAGACTGAGTTGGTACGATGGCTGAAGTAGACGGTCGTACGGCTATAACTGACAATGACATTGTTTGTACCCCTTGTTTTGAGGATGATATTCGAGAACCAGCTGTGAAATATTGTCCTGAATGTCAGGATTTTTTGTGTACAGGATGCAGTCTACACCATGGAAGACAGAGGTTGAGCCGTTCTCATAAGCTTGTGGACAAGAATGAAGCAAAACAAGGGTCACATGTGACCGTGACAGCAAAATGTTTATATCACCGAGATCGTAACATAGAGATGTACTGTGAAGAGCATGACATGGTTTATTGTTTAAAGTGTATTGCTACAGACCATAGGTTTGTATTTATTATCCCCCGCCGATGGAATCGGGAGGGGATATAGTTTTGGCGTTGTCCGTCCGTCCTTCCGTCCGTCCGTCCATCCGTCCGTCCGAATTTCGTTTCCGGAGTAGTTCTCTGCAACTACTGGCTAAAATTCAACGAAACTTTATGGGAATCATCAATATCAAGAGGAGATGCGCATATCGTCGGCTTGTTCCGGTCCGACCCTTTAACTCTGAGTTATGGCCCTTGATTAGTTATGTAGTATGCATATAGAGTAAAAATCGTTTCCGGAGTAGTTCTCTGCAACTACTGGCTGGAATTCAACGAAACTTTATGGGAATCATCAATACCAAGAGGAGATGCGCATATCGTCGGCTTGTTACAGTCAGACACTTTAACTCAGAGTTATGGCCCTTGATTAGTTATGCAGTATGCATATGGAATAAAAATCGTTTCCGGAGTAGTTCTCTGCAACTACTGGCTGGAATTCAACGAAACTTTATGGGAATCATCAATATCAAGAGGAGATGCGCATATCGTCGGCTTGTTCCGGTCAGACCCTTTAACTCAGAGTTATGGCCCTTGATGAGTTATGTAGTATGCATATAGAGTAAAAATCATTTCCGCACTACTTCTCTGCAACTACTGGCTGGAATTCAACGAAACTTTATGGGAATCATCAATATCAAGAGGAGATGCGCATATCGTCGGCTTGTTCCGGTCAGACACTTTAACTCAGAGTTATGGCCCTTGATTAGTTATGCAGTATGCATATAGAGTAAAAATCATTTCCGCACTACTTCTCTGCAACTACTGGCTGGAATTCAACGAAACTTTATGGGAACCTTCAATACCAAAAGGAGATGCGCATATCGTCGGCTTGTTCCGGTCAGACACTTTAACTCAGAGTTATGGCCCTTGATTAGTTATGCAGTATGCATATGGAGTAAAAATCGTTTCCGCGCTACTATTCTGCAACTACTGGCTGGAATTCAACGAAACTTTATGGGAACCTTCAATACCAGGAGGAGATGTGCATATCGTCGGCTTGTTTCGGTCAGACACTTTAAGTCAGAGTTATGGCCCTTGATTAGTTATGCAGTATCCATATAGAAAAATATTTGTTTCCCCGCTACTTCTCTGCTACTACTGGCTGGGATACTAAGAGGAGATGTGCATATAGTCGCCTTGTTCCAGTCAGATACTTATAACTCAGATTTATGGCCCTTGATTAGTTATGTAGTATGCATACATCTCATTGGCATTTCCAGATTTTACTATTTAACACAAAGTATGGCTCTGTTATTGCCCTGAATATTTATCAAGTTCAAAGAATATTACTGTTGATGCCATGATTAATATATAAATAAAGCCTTATGTATTTAGTTGTTGTGTTAATAATAACCAGTACTCGGCGGGGGATATAAATTCAACAAATTTGCTTGTTTTAAATTAATTTCACTTTTAAAACTGTTTTTACAACTACTACAATGATTTGTAATGAATTTGAGAATAAATCTATATTTTGTTATAATTGCAATGGTATATTAAAACCATGTGAAATTTGGGAAAAAGGTGACATCGAAACGACGGACATCGGAAAATTTCGGGGGGGGGGATAATATGTGCTGTTAATCAGTATTTTTATAATTGGCAACTTGAAAGCTATTGACACAATCATCTTACACTTACAATCAGATAAAACAAGTAAATTACAAATTTCTGAGGTTAAAAAAACAACCCCATTTCAACTACCATAAATAATTACCAAATTTTAGTCATGCATTTTACGTTAGGTGTAGCAGATACCTCTATATATCCTAGTGATAAGACATAATGATTGTAAAAACCTTTCACGCTAAGACAGTAGCCAAATTATTGTATACAATTTATAACAGCTATCCTATCATACAGATGAAAACAACAAGATCCCCTCTATAAATATCTCTAGTTAAAACGTGAAGTAAAATCATCCTAAAAATAGTAAAAATGAGAATACTAAAGGGTAGATACTGAAATGTACTTAATTACTTTATCTAAGAAGTAAAATTTCTTGTTACCAGGTCCTGTAAGGGAGTGACAGGTTTAGACGACTTATCAGTTTCTACTGATCAGAAAAGAGAAACAGAACGTTTAAAGGCTGACATTATGAACACCAAAGAACGTTTAGAAAATACTGATCAGAAAACGAAAACGAACCTGAAAAGCATAGAGGAACATAGAAATGAAGTCATTACGCAAATAGAGGCACTTGCGCGCGGTTTGGTAGAACATATCCACAAGTTGGAGCGTGAAGCTTTGGAAGGCCTTGATGCAAAATATATTTTGGTCAAAGAAGAACTGGAGACAAATATGTCTAAGTTAAGTAAAGCTAAAGAAGAGGTTGAGCAGGTAAGAAGCAAGCTACAAGGCATGGACAGTCTGGATAAAATACAACAATTTGTTCAGACAAAACTAACACAGCAAACCTTAAACGATGCAGTAAAAGTACTTGAACAAAATGAAGCTAAGGGAATTCAATCATTGCATTTAAAGGAAAATACAGAATTAAAGTCCTTAGTCAGTTCATCAACATGTTTAGGGTCTGTACAAAAGATACGAGAAAGCAAAAGACTGCCGACATCAAGGACGTATAAAGTACGTTCACAGAAGGAGGAAAGTATCCGCATGAAAAACGACAAGATCGGTCCCTACATCTGTGATGTATGTCAGCTTCAAGACGGTACAATCATATTGGCCGATAACAATAATATGAGGATAAAGAGGCTTGGTGTAAATTATAACATTAAAGATTATTTTGATCTAGAATCATATCCTTCAGGTATCTGTTGTACTGGTAATACTGAGGTCGCTGTGAAACTGTACCACAACAAAGTTTGTTTTATATCAGTAGGAAGCTCATTATCTAAGGTGAGAGATATATCTGTTACAGGTGGACGTTACTTGGGAATGACATATTGTGCTGGAGAGTTATGGGTATCTGATGTAAATGGTGTAAATGTGTACAGTATGACCGGTACATTATTAAAATATGTCATTTCTGATGTCAATATCAAACCTATGTTTAAGTCAACTCCGCATCAAATGGTTGTCAGTGAAGGGAATGTTTTTGTAACAGACAACAGTGATGGTGCTGTCTGTTTGACAAGAGATGGAACGGTGAAAGGAGAACTGATAGATAAAAGGCTTGCTGAAACACGTGGTGTATGTGTATCAAATGATGGGACTGTGTTTATTTCTGGGTTTAACTCAGACAGCATCATGATGTTTGATAGCGAAAGAAAATGCCTTGGAGAATTAGTTTCCAAAGAGTCCGGTCTACTAAAACCAGTATCATTATTGTTCGATGACAAAAGAAATTGTTTAGTTGTTGGATGCTTTTCTGGCAAAATTATAGTTTATTATATCTGACAATTCAAAAAATAGTTTGTGCTTTGTTGTTATGTTGCACAATGATTTGAAATGCTACATGTGGAGAGAATGTTTAACAGTAATATGATCAAATATATCATATTCAACAGTCAGCCTCTACATACATTTACTTTCCATGTCAATGTATGATAATATCTAAACACTTAATGTGTTAAATCACTAACACACAATCCATACAATATGTTCAGCTTTGCTATGTTGTTAGGCTGTTGGTTTTGCTGTCCAGTTTATGTCATTTATATATTGATTATGAAGACATGGGCCTGTGTGTTTCTGTACATATATGTATGCTATAAAAAGCGTAGTAGATGGTCAATATGTCCACATGCCTTTTGTTAGATAAATCTATTTATCTCTCTTTGTCAATATTTAGATTTTGATTGAGCATTAGAATGTTTATATATTTAAAAGTAATGTATAAAATTGTGTCAATTCTTTAATGAAAGAAAGAATAATAATTAGATCTATTAAACTTTTGTTCTCGGAAATCTTGTAGTTGTTTTTATCTAACTATCTAACTTTCCATCAATAGGGCATCACTGCTTTTTTACTGCAGCTAAATCATTTTATAAATAATAACCGTGATGTCATCATTTCACAAATACCTTTTCCCCAGTGGAGCTATTAGACGAAATATTTGCTTTCATGGTATGTGATGTCTAGTATTATACACTTCAAACGGCAACTTTCTGACTTCTAATGAAGGAACATAGACAATAGATAACCTTATCGATTGTTGTGATTTAACTTTTGGTTAAAACTGTGCATCATTCTATAAGGTAACTATTATAATAATACCCATGTGTCATTTTTTGTAATGGATTTTTATCAATTTTCAACGTTGAAATATATAAACATTTATTCATATTAATAAAGTGACCCGGGAGCTAATAACAACTTGCAAATGCATCTTGATTACGGAAGGATATGTGATACTTGTGTAATGAACTATGATATTACACTGCAGAATAATGTATATTTATGTTTTTCCGCTACCATAGGTAGTCACTTGCTATAACTAAAGTGACAGACTTCTACTGTTAATGTTTAAAAGACATCACACTGGCTAAAACCCATCTAACCCTCTTAGAATGAACATTAACTTAAAGATTTACAACAGTCGTGTTAAATCTCAATATCAGAAATTTGTTTCAACATGTGAGTAAGATACAATCTGGAACGCACCTAATGTAGTTCTTCTGTAGATCTCCTGTCTGTGGTGCTTCTAGATTGCTGATCGACCTCCATCATCAGCATGGTGCTCGCCGTCATTGATATTTCGGCCCTTATCCATGTATATCTGCTGGCGAGTGGGCCCACCGTCTTACGGTGTGGAGGTCGATTGCTTCCAGCTCTTCTCCTTTCGTCTCAGCCACAGCCAGCTAGACGAGCCCTCTGCAGCTTGGCTCAGTCTCTGGATAGTCCTACGTCTATCCCTCCCAGTAGTTCCTATCGCTGTCATCAGTCGGCACAAAGATTGCAAACAGAACCCTCGCACACCTACTTCAATAGAAAACAGCCATGTATGCCAGCCTCTCTGTCTACATTGGTTGAGTAGCTCTGTATACTTTGCTTTTTTCCTCTCGTAGGCCTCTTCACATCTTGTCTCCCAAGGTACTGTTAACTCGATCATGATGAGTTTCTTTCCTTTCTCAGACCACAGTATAATATCTGGTCTTAAGTTGGTCTGGACATTACTTGGGAAAACAAGCTTCTTACCAAGATCCACCTCCGTGTTCCAACCTGTTGCGCCATCTAGAATTGATGGTTGGTGTGGCGACTGTGTTTTGGCAGTTTCACCCGGTTTCACAAAGTTGATATGACAAAGCTTGGGGTTACTCCTGCGTTCCTTTTTCCTTTCACCTTCAAGCCAGTCAGCCACCTCCCTAAGAACGTTGTCATGACGCCATCTGTACCTTCCTTGTGTTAGTGCAGTGGAACAGGAAGAAAGGAAATGCTCCAGAGTGTCAGGACAATCGCACTGGTCACATGCTGGATCCGTTGTAAGTCCCCACCGGTGGAGATTAGCTGGGGAGGGTAAGAGGTCGTGAACTGACCTGATATGAAAGGATAACCGTAATGGTTCATACTTCCATATGTCTTCTCAAGTCAGCTTCCTGTCTATGGTGTTCCATGTAGTCCATGCTCCCTGTGCTCCCATCTCTACTGCCTCTAGCCTGTCTTGCACTCTCCTCTGCCCCCTGACTTCTGACTGAATCATGGCACGTCTCTCCTTCTTGTCTGCCTGGTTCCACAGGGGTGTCTTGGTAGCACCAATTCCCTGTCGTCCCACAGCGGTCATTCCCACAATGTCCTTGAGCTTAAGTGAGCTTTCAGCCTGGTTAACGGTCTCTGATGCTGACCACTTCCTGCATGTACGGGTTACAATCCCTGCTTCCCGGATTTGCTCATCTGGGGAATCTCTGAGGGTGAGCACCAATCTTGTCTTCGCTGTTTTGAATTCCTCTACCAGTGAAGAAAATGGGAGTTGAAGCTGATTGATCTTTCCATACAGTCCTACACCGGAGAAACTGGGTGGTATTCCTAACCACTTGCGGAGGTGTCTGCTTGTAACCCTCTCTAAGGCTTCAATTTTTGAGCTTCGTATCTCATACAGCATCATAGGCCAGATTAGCCTTGGAAGTAAGACATGCTGGTATAACCAGGCTTTGAACTTCCCAGGGAGATTGCTTTTGTCAATTTTCTTTAGCCCGTCTTCCACCTGGTTTTCTAGCTTCTTGACATTGTCACCATCTTGCAAGCTTGCATCAAACCACTTCCCTAGGCACTTGATTGGACTCTTAGTGATAGATGGGATATCCTCATTCTGTACTCTGAGAATGAACCTATCTGTGGTTTTGCCATTCTTGATAATGAGAGATCTGGACTTTGCGGCCTTGAATTTCATTCTAGCCCATGAAGCGACATCTGTCAGGTGTCACAATAGGGACTACGATGGGATACCAGGCCGACCACAATTGCTATCTAAAACAACCAACAACTCAGAACAGAAAATATATACAAATTTATTTACAGAAATGAATATTTATAAATGAAAAATGATTATATATGAAAAGTCACTGCGCAAACAAACACTATCAACGTATCTCAGTCTATTTCTCCCGTAAAGTTTCTGTCATGATGTTTCAATAAAGTGGTGGCGTTGTTGAACAAAATTCGTCACAATGGCGGGCGTCTTGTATAAAATCTTATCAAGCGTAACTGTACTTCCTACAGTGTTGTCACAGTTGATAGGATCCTGAACAAGGGCATGCGTCACCCTTTAGCCATGGACATACGTGTGGAGGACCCGTGTCATCTTCGGGTGTGTCCTCAAATAAGAAGCTACAAAGTATAAAACATGGTAAGTTCCATGATAATCAAACATAAGGGTATAATAAAGTCCCTTGGAAAAGACTCGACCTTTGTCGGTTTCCAATAAAATAACGTGCTTCTTTGAATAAACAAAATGTCCACTATAGTACACCATACATTCCGTGGAACAAAAATTCAATCACATCCGCATAATACTGCGTTGCAAATATATTCAAATATACGCCACATAATAACCACCAATAAATAAACGTCTTCCAAAATAATGCCACATGAAGATCCTTCTCTAGAGATACGTTAGTTTTGATACGTTGTATTTACTTATAACAAACACTGATGATAAATGAAATGAAGTAAGATGATAACGTAAATTAAATTGATTGAAACAAATCATTACGATACTGCAGCATTTTACATAAAGTTACACAAATACGGTAGAACCATAATAAATTATTTATGAATATATATATATATATTATATATATATATATATATATATATATAAAATATTCATGGCTCCTTTACAATTACAATATAATTAAAACTTCAATTAACATTCATCAATTAACATGTCTCGGTATAAATTTGCAATAGCGAAACACTAGAATAAAAAGAGCTTTTAAAATTTAATCTGCAAAAATTTAGAAAATTTAGAAAACAATAAATTACTGCCAAATAACTAAACTAGAATCAAATAAACTATAATTCTAATAGAAAATAGTATTTACGAAATAGCAAAAATTTATGAAACAAAATCACTAGAAAATTAAATTTACCTTGTACAAGCTGTAATTTTATGACAAATATAATTTGTCTGTCACCGTCATAGTGACCTGTATAACGTCCAGTGCATTGCAATATATCACTTAAAATTAAGTCATTTATATAGCAAAACTACTGAGTACTGAGCGGGAAAACAGATCGTGCAAAACATGAAAAATCGATTTGCACGAAATAAAGCTGGGACGGCGGGAAAAAATAGTTATGTAAAATAAAGGCCCGTCCTTCAAATACAGACATAAAACATATATCTGGTTCATAAAACAAAAATGTAACTTTCTTATTACTGAAAGGATTTTTGTGAAATAAACGGCAAGATGTTTAAATTGAGACATGGAAATTTATGCAAACCATAAAAATACTCAAAATAATAATTTCACCCGAAAACTCTAAATTAAACAAAAGATGATGCAATCTCACATCAATGAATATAGAGTAAAAATGAGGTTCGGCGTGAAAATATAATGCAAGATTTTACAAACGAACTTTCACTTTGTGACAACAGGGTGTTAACATCCATCTCGCCTGTACATGGGTGGTAGTGGTGAGAGTGAGGTCATCCATGAAACCTCGACTGGATGGCAAGTAAATCCCTGAACCTGTCTTTGGTCCACGAGTCTCTCTTAGAGCAGCATTGATGAGGAGATTCATTCCCATAATGAAGAGTACCACGGAAACTGTACATCCGGTTACAATACCTTTCTCCAACTTCTGCCACTTTGTCAGCTGGTCACCAACAGGGAACTGGAGTTTGATACCATCCAAGTAGCTGGTGATGATTTTCTGCACATGGTTTGGGACATGGTAGTGTCGGAGGGCTGTTTAGATCAGCTGATGTGGGATGGAACCATATGCGTTAGCTAGATCAAGCCAAACTACTGTGAGGTTCTTCTCCCTGCCTTTGCCCTGCCTGTGAAATAGCGCTTGTGTGTTCTACACAACCTGAGAACCCAGGCACTCCTCCCTTCTGGATGGAGATGTTGATGTACTTGTTGGATGTGAGGTAAGATGCAAGTCTTCTTGCAAGGATAGCAAAGAAAATCTTCCCTTCAACATTGAGTAATGAGATGGCCCGGACTGGGTTGACATTCTTGGAGTTATGTCCTTGGGAGTAAAAATGTCCTCTTGCTTCCTTCCAGATCTGGTATATTTCACCTTTCCTTCCAAAACCACCTTTAGAACCTCACATAACCTTTGCAAGTAGAAGTGGTGCACATCTTATTACCACTTTGTAATTGGATGGCGTTCATGTGTCCAGGAGCAGAACCAGGATCTTGCTTTTCTGATGACCTCTTTTACCTTCTCCCAGTGTTGGCTGCTGCTAGTTACGATTCAATCTCTCTGACGTGCTGCTGGGTCTATGCGTTCACAGTCACCTAATGCATTGTTTCTACTTAGCATCGGAGCTGGGTTTCAATGAAGTATGTAGTTTCAACCTCTTCCAGCGGGGCTTCAAAGCACACCCCGATCGCTCTTTTTGTCCAGTAGAGTTCTTGCAAACTTGTAGGGATTGGCTGTTAAACGCCTATTCTTTTCTTGGCTTCTCTCCCGGGACCTTTCTTCCTCGTGGTTTTTCGGACTTTTCCGCAGGGATTTCAGCTCTGCTCGTTTCTTGTGTCTCTCAGCTGAGACTAACCCGAGTCGCTCTTTATGATGATGCTCTTCTTGTATCTTTGCTTCAGCTGACGAGAGTTCCCTTCGAAGGTTCTCAATACCGTAACTGCCGTGTGTAGATTTTGGGGCTCCTTGGTTACCTTTTGCTTCCTCCACTCCAAACTTTTATTTGCTAAGAGTAGACTAAGGTAAAGAGAATGTGTAGGCTTCCGGTCCAACTGTCTTGGGCCATGGATGTCTCAAGGATAGTATCCAGGTCACCGTTAGGAGTTTCATATTGTCTTGTCTGATGCCTCTGGCCACTTGAATCCTTGTTTCCTTTTGATTAGTGGTAGGGTCTAGAACGTGGTCGTATGCCAGAACAGCGACCTGCTCTGCTTCTTGGCTGCAATGTCCCGGAATCTTAAGTAGTTCGTAGGAGAGGGTCTTCTTCTTCCACCTCTGGGTCATGAGAGGCATCGTGTGTTTTCTCGAAACGCGAGAGTTCCTCAAATACTGTGGGTTGAATCCGATTGCTACTCCCTGCGTCTCCACACTAGTCAAACGGACTAAGCGCTGTTCTCGTTGTCCTCACACGTTGACAACCAGTCTTGCCTTTGGTGGATTCGTAGACCTCGTAGGTTCTTGCAGACCTTTCCGCATTTGCATGTAACTGTTGTTTGCTGTTTTCATAGTCGATTGTGCGGGCGCGTCGATTCCATAAATCTGTCCAAGTGAGTCTTATCATCCTCCCGCCCCTCTCGGTTAGACTCTGGGGGTGTCTTTCATTGTTGGAGTATGTAGCTGTGCTTGTGGGTTGCTCTCTCACGAAGAATGCAGTTCGGGCTTGCTAACCCTAGTGCCCTGTTCTAGTCTATTCCTGGTGGTCATCTGTCTTCCCAGTGTCACCAATCTGTCTCTCGGTTGTCATCTAGTCTTTCCTAGAGGTCACTGTTTGTCCAGTTGTTAGATGAGTAAAGATACAATCTGGAACGCACCTAATGTAGATCTTCTGATATCTTCCTGTCTGATGGTGCTTCTAGATGCTGATCGCGACCTCCACCATCAGCATGGTGCCTCGCCGTCATTTGATATTTCGGCCTTATCCACTGAATATCTGCTGGCGAGTGGCCCACCGTCTTACGGTGTGGAGGTCGATTGCTTCCAGCTCTTCTCCTTTCGTCTCAGCCACAGCCAGCTAACGCGCGCTCTGCAGCTTGGCTCAGTCTCTGGATAGTCCTACGTCTTATCCCTCCCAGTAGTTCCTATCCGCTGTCATCAGTCGGCACAAAGATTGCAAACAGAACCCTCGCACACCTACTTCAATAGAAAACAGCCATGTATGCCAGCCTCTCTGTCTACATTGGTTGAGTAGCTCTGTATACTTTGCTTTTTTTCCTCTCGTAGGCCTCTTCACATCTTGTCTCCCAAGGTACTGTTAACTCGATCATGATGAGTTTTCTTTTCCTTTCTCAGACACAGTATAAATATCTGGTCTTAAGTTGGTCTGGACAATACTTGGGAAAACAAGCTTCTTACCAGATCCACCTCCATGTTCCAACCTGTTGCGCCATCTAGAATTTGATGGTGGTGTGGCGACTGTGTCTTGGCAGTTTCACCCGGTTTCAACAAAGTTGATGTGACAAAGCTTGGGGTTACTCCTGCGTTCCTTTTTCCTTTCACCTTCAAACCAGTGCAGCCACCTCTCTAAGAACGTTGTCATGACGCCATCTGTACCTTCCTTGTGTTAGTGCAGTGAAACAGGAAGAAAGAAATGCTCCAGAGTGCCAGGACGATCGCACAGGTCACATGCTGGATCCGTTGTAATTCCCCCACCGGTGGAGATTACTGCTGGGAGGGTAAGAGGTCCGTGAACTGACCTGATAAGAAAGGATAACCGTAATGGTTCATACTTCCATATGTCTTCCCAAGTCAGCTTCCTGTCTTGGTGTTCCCATGTAGTCCATGCATCCCTGTGCTCCCATCTCTACTGCTCTAGCCTGTCTTGCACTCTCCTCTGTCCCCTGACTTCTGACTGAATCATGGCACGTCTTCTCCTTCTTGTCTGCCTGGTTCCACAGGGGTGTTCTTGGTAGCACCAATTCCCTGTCGTCCCACAGCGGTCATTCCCACAATGTCCTTGAGCTTAAGTGAGCTTTCTGCCCTGGTTAACGGTCTCTGATGCTGACCACTTTCTGACTG